TTCATAAACAGTGAACCACAAATAATACAAGGTTCTTAGAAAATTTTTTCCTCTATAGAACTTTATAGAGATCATTTCACTGATCATTTTGGTAAAAAAAATGTTCAAGCTTACTCAGTAAATAAAGGTGCTAGAGCCAAAATACTGAAGACATTTGACTATTTCTAACTGCTGCTGAGATGTAGTTGATGCTTTTGAGTATTTTGCCTTGATCATCGTTATTTACTGAGTAAAATCGAATATTTTTTTAGGATGTGGACTGTGGGAGTGATTTTGCATGTGCGTATGACTGTGAATAAATGAAAGATTGTCACCCGTTTACACGAACACAATCAGACCCCAAACCAACAGCCAGGACGACACCGAAAGCAAACATCCACACAAACCGACTTACATACCCATACCGACATTCACATATCCGCGTCTACATCCAGAATCCAGATCCATACTCGCACACCCACTTCCCATACACTTACACTCGCCCCCATGACCGCATCATATATGTGAAACTTGAATACAAGTTTCAAGTTTGCTAGTACTGAAGAATGCTTAATTCTTAAGGACCCTAGAAAAATTTCATTTTTTGAAATCCCATAACGGTGAGTATTTGTTGAATAACTCTGTTGTGGCTAAAGAAAAATCAATAAAGTTTTTACTGATACTAAATTGAAATGGTCTCCATTTGTGGTAAAAACTTCAGAGAGTTTACTTTTATTACTGAGAACCTACAGATGTTGCAATGTGAAAAAAACAGAAATTACATGGCACGTGGCCATGCTCAGATGCACTTTAAACAGCCGCTCGTAAACGTCTAAAAACAGCGAAAAAAGACTACTCAGTTACTTGTTAAGAAATACATCATTGAATATATAGTTTTCTCCATGAGTGAACTACTTTATGCACACAATGTTTTATGCTACATTTACGCACAGTACGTATGATTATTGCATATGTGCGCACGTGTATATATATATTTACTGTGGATGCAGCTTGTCAGGGCACAGCTGTATGCCGAAATGCTATTTATGTGATGAAATGCTTCTTATAATAAGTGAAGATGTAAGCAAAGCGCTATGCAATTCGAGTAATGAAATTGAGCCACATACGACAAGAAAACGACGTCAATATGTCTTATCATTATTCGGCGGGAACGTTATGAGACGGCGCCGCCTGCGGCTCGGCGAAACGCATTCTGTAATCTATTATGAAGGATTGCGACCAAAAAATGATACTAGTTTTTCATCGTTTACGCCAAGAATTACGCCGTTTCAGATGGGATAAGACATTGTTTTCGCCGGTCGGAATGATCAATCTGGATATCTAGAAAAATAAAGCAGAACCTTGTGCGGTTTCTCGTACATCACTTAGTTTCATATCTGATTCTATATTGTTTCTCAGAACTATGCTCTAGTACGTCTCACTCAATGTTATTACTTGCCAGTTTTCGCTATCATCCATAATCATACGTTGTTTTCTCATAATTGTTCGTTACTACATCTCATGCTAAGTTTTTTTTTGCCAAGATGTTTTAGTCATGATACCACTGAGAAAAAAATAAAAATTAGTTAGGTTCATAAAATTTTTTAGAAGGAAACGGCTCATCGCTTTTACTTGCTATGTCGTTTGTCTGCCGATCATTTCACGTATGAAAAAGTAAACATAGATAAGCCATAGATCATTGTAAAACAATACACTGATATAGTAAACAGGCTCAAGACCCAACTAGTACAGTTAGTTATTTGAATTTTTCTCGAAAATTTTAAAAGAAGTTTCGGAAGAAAAATACTCTCAAATGATATGTAATGAACGCAAGTGGACGTACTGAAAAATTCTTTTATTCGAACTCATTAGTAATATGAAAATCAGTCAGAGTAACAATCAATTGAAAAGCTCAATATTCTGAATGGTAACTTGCGTTTACTAGACGAAAAAAATAGAAAATTATCAAGTTAGTATCATTTGTGGCTTTACAAAGTGTTTCGTTGGGCTCTTCAAGAATAGTTCTCACAAAATATTTGATGTGGATTTTATTACGAGAAATGACACGTCGCAGAATGTTCAAGGTTTTTGTGCACGTCGGTGAAGTTAGCAGCCGATTCGAGCAATCCCGGGCAGCGATTTCCCTAGGAACTTCGTTCAACGTCCCTATTCTTGGTCCAAGTACAACTCGATAAGCTCTATCCAATGCTATAATTAGATTTTCCATAGCTCAAACTAAAGTCCCCAAAATCCAAAAATACTGATATTTCACTATACGACCTGGAAGTCCATAAAAGTAAAAACAGCAGCGATTCGCGCCGGAACTTGGTCGAATGTTTCTATACTCGATCCAAGTACAACTCGATGAGCTCTATCTAGTGGTACCATTAGATTTTCCATAACTCAAACTATATTTCCAAAAATCCCAAAATACTGGTATTTTTCATACAATCCATATAGTAATTTCGGCAGCGACTCGCCTAGGAACTTGGCTCACCGTTCCTATTCTCGGTCCAAGTACAACTCGACGAGCTCTATTTAATGGTATGCCCGTATTTTCTATAGCTCAAAGTAAAATTTTCACATGCTCACTAGCGCCATCTATCAGTCGCGAAATCATACTTTGGTTTCTCGAATATCTGAGCATATCATTGGATAGAGCTCGTTGAGTTGTACTTGGACCAAGAATAGGAACGTTGGACCAAATTTCTAGGCGAATCGCTGCCAGAATTACTCGAATCGGCTGCTAACTTCACCTACGTTTTCTGTGCACGAAAATCTCGAGGTGGTTCCAGGTTTCTATGAACCTTAAGCCGGCACTCCTACCACTGCCTAGTACTGTGCAACATTAAATCAGGCTTTCAAAGACTATACACCAAGTCAAGACACAACCATCGAACTGATATGAGTCAACGTAAATATCTTACAATGAAACAATCCTACCATGCAAAATGAGAAGGCAACTTAGAGAACATTTATTCAACATGAAGTCTAGATGAACATGCGACAAAAAATGAATAAGCAGTCAAGCAAGCACTACAGGTGACTGTTACTATAAAAAAAACGAATAGGAACTCTGGATTTCCAATCTAACCTAAGATCTAGCAGATGAACAGCGATAAGAAAGACACATAAAATATCTGTCTACGAAGCACATCAAAAGATACAAAGGTCTACGTAACAAAATGGAAAAAAATCAGCAAGACGCTGTGACGAACTTGAGGCGATAAGTGTATGTGAAATAGAGATATTCGTTTGATTTGGCTTCTTTTTATAACAGATCACACTGTTCACACACAGAACATACCCGTATATATGATAGATAGAAAATGAACGTTAATCAAGCGTATCAGTCACACAAGTATACAATGGTCACAAGGTCAACAGAAAGGAAGAGATAGATGAAGATGATACATTTCGTGACGGACATTGCAAAGAAAAATGGTTACAAAAGCAGTGTGAAGAAATTGAAAAAGGATCATAGATTGGTAACAGCAAGCAAGCATACAGCTTGGTGAAAATGCTAAAACTGAAGTATGTACAAAAATCAACCGTCATACGCAAACAAGATGAGACAATGTTGCAATCAAGAGAGTGCATAAAACAAAGATGGACACAATACTGTGGCAGCTTATACGAAGACAAAGGAGATGGAGAAGAAATCGTGAAGAAATTTGAACCTATAACTTCTTCTAATGAAGACCATACAAATGACATTTCATATGCTGAAGTAGAAGATGCGATGCATAACCTCAATAAAGACAGAAGTATAAGAACCGATGGCGTTACAGTCGCAATGCTTCAAGCTGGAAGTGAACAACTAGTAAACAAAATTCATGAGCTGTGCAACAGAACATGGAAAGAAGTAACAATTCCAGAATAATCGGAAAAATCAGTCTTAGTGCCAATCCTCAATAAAGAAGATCTCAATGAATGCTCAGATTGCAAAACAATTTCTCTCAGAGATCATATGGGAAAACTCCTACTAATGGTGCTGCGAAATAAACTCAAGCACCACCTGGAGCCATATTTAACAGTGGGGCAAGCAAGATTTAGAAAAGACAGAGGCACAATTCATCAAATTTTAATATTCAGACTCCTTGAAGAGAAAGCAAAAAGAAAGAGCAAGAAAATATATAATTGGTTCGTTGACTTCCAAGAAACATTCGATACGACTAAGCACAATATCATAGAGACTGTCCTAAGGTCTTATGGAGTTGATAGCAAGCTGGTTTCATTACTACAAAATATTTCTGAAAAAGCACAGTTAGTGGTCTGAGTTGTGATGGGCATTGATCAGTAGTTTCAGACAAGTGTTGGACTCAGAAAAGGTAGCCCTCTATCATCACTTTTGTCCATCGCTTATCTAGAGAGAGTAATGGACACGAGCACACGGAAAGACACTGGAGTCAAGGTCAATGAAATGCTAATAGACAACTTAAGGTTTGATGATAACATTGATATTTTAGACGAAGATTGCAGTTCACTTCACAGCCAAATTGAACAAATAAAAAAATACGGCTGATCAAGCAGAGTTAATAGTGAATACAATAAAAACCAAAACGATAATATTCAGTGAGAAGCACACATAGCAGACAAATCAATTGAAAACGTTGAGAAGCTTGAGTATATGGGAAGTATGTGAATTTGGGATAACAACTGCTCAGAAGAGGTCAAACAGAGAATCAACAAAGCAATAAGATCAATACCCAGCCTGAAGCATACATCGAGCAAAAAGAAACTAAAAATGACAAACAAATTCAAGGTTCTAAACAGTGCATCTTTAGCGCACTGCTGGATGCTTCACGAACATGTACTCGAACACATGCTGATAAAAGGAAGCTGCACGCATTCGAAATAAAATCCTACCGAAGAATAATTCGAATCCGTTGAACAGATACAGTGAGAAATATCGACATTAGGAAGAACATAATGGCTCAAAAAAAATCGTAGTAGGCATTAGGGATGCAACAGTGACAGTGGCCATCGGTGTCACCGGTCATTGGTTCACCGTTCAACCAATGCGCCGTAGCACCGGTGCCACCGTTCCATCGGTATACGGTGCACCGTAAGCACCGGCAACAATGTACTCCAATTAAAGCTACTCAGGTTGGTCTGATTCCTATCAAAAGTGAACCTGCTCATGTCGTAATCGAGAAGTGCATACTTAGTCGCTACCCATATAGCTGTTGTGATATATGATGGTATTTCGCCAACTTCAAAAGCTGTTTTCATATAGTAACCACTTCACATATACGCTACTGACTGTAGGCATACGACAGTCAACATCAGCATGTTCATCTAACTGAAACTTGCTAGCGTAAAGCTATCTGAATATAAAAGATGCTTATGCAAATAACATAGGAATGCGATATCAACAAACACTCCAAAGGCCAATAATACCGGTTACGACGTCAGAAATGTACGGTGATGGTCGGTTGGTAGCATTCTAACACCTCACTGAGGCTCATGGTAGCCAGTAGTGTGCATTTAGCGGTCATTACCCTGGGTTTTTGTGACCCTATCGGTCCTACAACTGTCATGATCATCACACTCATCTACGAAGCAAATTTTCATCTACCGTAGTAACTTGAACTAAATTGTACAGTTTTGACCATTACCATGAACCATAATTGTGCCGGTTAGGAGAGCGGGAACCTACGGTGATGGGCAGTTTGTAGCATTTTACAGACTCATTGAGGCTTAGGGCAACCAGTAATGCCCATCTAGTCATCATCACCGATGGTTTTCGTGACCTTATCGGTCCTATAACTGACTTCGTAATCACACTGATCTGTGAAAAAAATTTTCATCTGCCGTCGCGTCGTACAGTCAGTTATTTAGTTTTGACCATCGCCATGAACGCTAATAATGCTGGTTAGGAGAGCGGAAACCTACGGTGATGGCCAATTGATAGCTTTTTACGGACTAGTTGAGGCTCAAGATAACTGGTGATGTCCGTCTAGCAGCCATCATCGTAGGTTTCGATTTTTGCCACCGGGAATGTCGTTAGCCTGATCATTACATTTGTGAGCAAGAGTGTCTCGTATACGACCATACTCTGAAATCAAGAATACGTTTTGAATCCTCAGAGTTAAGGCAAATATGGCCGGTTAGCATATCAAGAACTTACTGAGATGGCCGGGTTCAGCCATTATTCAGACGTCTGCATGCTTGCATCGACCACTGATGCTGTTACACCGGTCATTATCATAGGTTTTCATGGATCAAGAGGCCCTTTTGTTAGCTGAATCATTGTAATCAGGTATGAAAGAAATATTTCATTTGTCATAGCGTCATCTGCTGAGAATATAGCTTCGACTATCGCCGTTAAGATCAATAGTGTCAATTTAGAACCACGAAAACCTACGGTGATGACCGGTTTCTACTATTACTTAGACAATATAAGGCTCAATGCATCCGTTGATACCCATACGCCGGTCTCCACCGTAGATTTCTACAGCCTTACGGGCTTGATTCTCCGCCATTTCCCAAATTTTTGATGAGCATTTGCAACAATCCTTTCACTAGTACAAGAGATCGCTTCTTACCAGAAAATGAATTGCACAAGTTTCTGGTATGTACCACATATCATAAAAACAAGAATACAATAAAAATTGACCGGTGCACCGATGCCACCGCTCCATTGTGCCACCGGTGAACCGGTGGGCGGTGTCACCAGTACTACGGTGGACCGGTGGACCAGTGAACGGTGCACCATCATCGGTGCATCCCTACTACACATAAAAAAAAAGAAAATTGAAATTATTCGGTCATATCTGCAGAATGGATAATAGCAAACTATTAAAACACGTGACACTTTCTGGTATGAATGGAAAGCCCACAAGTCACCGGCCATGCATGAAATGACAAGATGACATGATAGAATGGTGTGTGCATAGCTGCCAAGGTCTGGTTCATCTAGTAGAGGACAGAAACCATTGAAGGTAACTGACTCGAACAGTGATTGATTCCAAAAGACGATGAGTCTATGGAACATCAAACTGAAGAAAAATTATCTAAGGCCAAGGGAAAAACGATGTCTTATGTACTCTAGTTTTCCACGGACTCCATGGACTCCAACAATTCAGCGGTAGTCCGGAGAGTACAATACATTGCAGAGTGGGCAATTTTAAATAGGCAAGCAGACATTTAGTTTTAAAACAGACCAATAAACTCAATAAACTGTTATGTATAGGTTTTCGGGTGTGCTCGTTCAATATGGAGTGGTTTTCAGGACACAGAAGTATTTCAAAATCAGTTTTTTTAGAAAGCCTTGGTTTCCTGGAAACCATAGTGGTCTTAAAAATACTTGACTTTTGTGAGAATAGTTTCTAATGTGTTTTCGAGTATGTTGACTAAGAATCTAGCATTAGAAAGCTGGTTTGAAGCCTTCCAGAAAGTTGTCTAGAAATCTGATTCTCTGGAAAATCTTTTTTAATAAAATAATCAAAATAAATTGTTTTTTAATAAAATAATCAAAATAAATTGTTTTTTATGTTTTAGCAGATGCTAATTCTAGTTTTGACAAGTAAACGCAAGTCGTTACTCTCTTAGAGCCCACCATCGCCCCTTGGCTTTTACTTTTGTGCAGTTGGCGAAGTCAATAAGCTTCCTTTGCAGATTCTAAGCCGGTACTTTCAAGTCATTTTTCATGCTACCAACAAACATTTGCTTACAAAAATAGCCGAAAGTTCATGCAAAAAACAAGTGAAAATTTGAAATAATCAACTATTTACAATCATTTGCGAAAGAAGTCGTAAAATTGATGTACACTAAGTGAGCTTACTGTTTCTTCTTTATCTTTTGCAGTTTGAGTTGGTGTAGATGTTGTGTTTGTTGCCATTGCTGTGTACCGAATTTTCGACCTACTACCGACGCCACGAGTGCCAAGTAGACTACAGTTAACAATCATCTACCTATCTGACACATATGGTACCCACGCTACTGTGCACCGGATTCCAGGGCTGTTCACGTCTTAGAAATTACAGTAGATTTCAGAGACATAGATCTCCAGACCAGGATAAAACCTACGCGTGGTTACAAAGCCTGACTGGAAAAGCGCCGGAGATCTACACTTCCTAAAGATCATGGAAATCTGCTCGAAGGTTATGAGAATTCCATACCTTCTGGGCTGCTCAGCTAAACCGTTTCGCACACTACCGGAGCCCAGAGACATTCAGAAAAAATAACAATCAGTGAGTATGACCTCGGTCAAATAATTAACGGCTGCTCACAAACTGCATTGTCAGTCAGAGGGAGCGTAGCATTTTAGCTTCCTACTGAGGTGATCATTTCGACTGTACCCTTACGCCCAGATTGTTATTAGAAAATCCAGAGATCCAAAACCTTATCCTTGTCCATGACAGTACCACAACCACAACCGAACATTATCAACCTAGTTTATGGTCTTTATAAACCCATAGTTTAAGGTCGATTGCGGATCCATAGTTTGATGTCATTACGAACGAAAACAGTTAAAAGAGAATTTTCATCGAAAGCTGGACTTTTGGTGAAAAATGAATTGGTTCAAAATCAGTTGAAAAAAAACCATTCGATGCAGTTTCTCACGCTGATCCAGAATAGGGCATTACTTTGCTCTAAAAGTGCTTCGGAAGTTAGGAAAACAATGAAAATCGCCAAAAACATTGATTTTTGGAAAACCTATATCTCAGTCCAGAAGTAGTTGTGCAGTTTTATGCATTCACAGTAGACGTGTCACATAGAGAGAAATTATCTGTGAAAGTTTCATCCAAATTGGAACTATGAAAAAATGTGCAACGCCATTTTACTGAAGACACCTATTTGGATAATACTTCAGTGCAGAAAGAAGGATTACTTTTTCAAATGGAAAAGAGATAAAAATAAATTCTTTTATACGAATCCATAGAGCAGAAGCTCTGTTTCTAGAATATATATAATTCGTTAGTCCACTCTTCCCATCTTTTTGAAAAAAAAAGAATTTTTTTCCGAGGTCTTCCGAGATCACTGAAAAATGTCCTTATTTTGCGATCGAGGTTTTTCCAGTACACTGAAGAGATTTCATTTTTACACCAAATGTCTGCTTGATTGTCCACTGTGCCTTATTTCTATTTTAGCTTATAACATTATATTTGCAACTAGATTATCAAGAAAACACCTGACTATTTTACGCTTTATACAATTAATTAAAAGTGAACATGTTCGTTTTGAACATATTTCAACACAACTTGATGCTGATGCATCAGTTCCACAACAATTGAAAGAAGCAAAAGTTGTTCAGGTGAGACTTGATACTCTTCATGATTGATTTCTAAAGAAGAAAATCAACGCAAATGAATTATTATCAGGTTTATCAGAACTGGAAACAAAAAGCAATTTGTTTATACTGTCAGCATTGTCTTTTGTTTTTTTCATTCTACATTAATAAAACATGGCATTTCTTATGCATTACAAGAATATAAATATGATCATTTCTATCTTTCTTTCAAGTTGTTTAAGCTTTCGATATTTTCCTCTGTCGATGTTTTTCGACAGTTTCCCGCAAGAACGTGTACAGAGCACATGGTACCGATTTTCTTTGTAGAATATGTTATTGAATAAATGCTTGATGAAATAAATAAGAAATAATAATTGCAACCATTCTGATAGAATTTTGACTGATATTATTTGCCACTGTATACGTAAATAAAGAAAAAAGACCTTTTTTTCAGGAATTATAAGAATTGACCGATAGCAGATTCAATAAATTTTTAGCTCTATGTAAGCCTTGAGCATTTGATTTTTAGCTACTTATCTTTTTCATAATAATTCAACATAAATTTCATATAAATGTGTCGCTTTAATTAAGAAGCATTTCTTATAATGTTTTATCATTTTTATTGCTTCAATTGAATGTATAACAACCTTGTCAACATCATTACCAATGTGAGAAATCATTTGATTCGTCTGCGTCTCACCCAGGTCAAGCATTACGACCACTAGATACGACCGTATACGGCCGTTTACGACGCCGTAATTCTATGCACCGTATTACCGCCGTAAATTGCGGTGCTTTAAACGGCGACTTACGGCTGGAGTATACGACATAACAAACACTGTAAAACAAGACATCTACGCCCTCTTCCTCCGCCGCCTTTTCAGATCCAGCCCTAGTCATGTTCGGGCCGATCCTAGGGTTATGGTGACACTTTTTTCAATGAAGGATATATGTGTAGGGTTCCACCTTTTATATAGACAAGAAATAGAATCTCGAAATCTGATTTGTCAATTAAAACAGCCGGATTATCGCTTAGAGCCGGTGTAATTTATCGGCGGCCGTAAACGATGTTTGTTTACGTTGGTCGTTTGTGACGGGTGTATACTGAGGAAACAGCTGTTTTTGGGATTGCTGAACGCGCCAAGGGAAAACAGCTAGCGTATATGGTGCTTTACAGCTTGCTATCTAATGCACGTTCACGGTCGCCGTATTGTTACGGTATTGGTTAACGACAACTGTTTACAGTCATTGTTAACGATGGCCGTAATACATCGTAAAATATCGTTTACAATTACCGTAAATGGCTACCACAAACAGTTGCCGTTATCCGCCGTAATTCGTTGGCATATAACCCTGTACAACCGAGTAGGATTAACCTGGGTCAGGTGTCAATGTATACATGAACAAATAATCTGAATATTCGTATGGAAAGTAAAATGACAAGGACGAAACACCAACAACGAAAAACATAAAGAAAAATCTTTGAGAAAGTGAACAATAAATCCTCTCCTTTTTTGCTGGGAAATCTATTGAAAATAAGTTTTACTTGACGCTTGGGTCAGCATTCGGACATTATTTGTCCTCTGTTGTGCAACCCGTGCACTCTTTTCAATGATGTAGTTTTTATCATGTCTTGACGAGATCGAAAATTTCGCTGGTGTCGACATGTTATATCTATTAATTTGTATCTGTGGTGAAATTTTCAATTTTTGATCACATCATAATAGGGAGGTAATTCTACGGATGTCATAGAAAGTTTTAAGATGAAATTTCGTAAACGCTGGTCAGGCAGAATTTTGATTTACTCGGCTGTAGCTACACTCTGTTTTGCTGCCAATCATTTATTTCTGGATAAGACAAATTTGCGTGCTATTACGCCTTTGTCGGTGAACCGAACTGTTGAGTTACTCACACCTACTTCAACCCCACCAGCTCAGATATCGACTCGAGCATTTTCTGCTTCTTGCCGACCATACTCTGTAATTGACAATCGATCATTTTTTGAGCGTGAACCACCACAGGTGCATCTACCTCGACTTGCATCGAAATCTTATCGTTATCATCTTTTGAAAACTCTTCGTTCATTTCGACTAGTTGCTGTTGCTTGTGCATACAATGTCGAAAAAGAGATCCCAAAGTTTCGTTCGTATGTGGAACGAATTATTCATGTATTTCATTCGTCATCACGCATTCTCATCTTTGAAAGCGATTCGACCGATGATACACTCGCTACTCTCCGAAAATGGTCTAGTGCCCAAATCTATACAGGAGGCCGTCTGGAACCAACTATTCCAGCTCGCAGCGAACGTATCGCATATTGCCGCAATATACTTCTCGAGAAAGCTCGCATGCTAGAGCCCGATTATCTTCTGACCCTCGATTTGGATATATTTGCTGCAAAACTTTCAGCATTTTTGACAAATTTTGATTATGAGACGGAAGACTGGTCTGTAATGACAGGTAATGTAGTCCGCGACTATTACGATATTTGGGCACTGCGTACACTGTCTGATTTGAATCTTAACTACGACGTATGGGAACGAGTGCAAGTACTAATGCGTGCCCCGTCAAATTATTGCGGGCAATCGGTTATTGATCAAGTAGTTGGCATCCATCAAAAGCATATACCTATTTCCCGTGGCCTGTTAGAAGTGCGTTCAGCATTTTCAGGCGCCGCTTTGTACAAAATGAATTCAACTAAAAATTGTTGGTACTCTGGGGCGAATGCGACGAGTGAACATGTGCCTTTTCACTTATGCATCCGTGAAAAGAACGGAGCTCGAATATTTATCAATCCAAAGTTTCGTATTTGTCTTCGTCATCCTTAACTAGAATTATGGCTAATGTGCTTCAATCTATTATCTCTGGTTTAATAGTGGATAATGGAGTCTACTGAAACTAGATGAAACTCACAGTAGTTCTAACGAGGTTCAAACACAAGGGTTTTCCTTAGCAATAGTAGTCTCAATAGCTAGAACCGACAAAACTCGTCAGTATATCAGTATAAGCCATTTTCTAGTTTTCTGACCCGATAACAATGAAATTGTACCAACGATGAGTCATATATATTTGTGAATGACTACAGTAATGAGGTTAGAATCCTGTTTCACTGCTATAGCACTTTTCATTATATATTTCCATGAGTTTTCTCTCTTTTGACATCTATCCGTGAACAGAAAACTTGGTAGAACTACAAATTCCACAGGTCCACGAAAAATTAAATTTATCCCGTTTTACTTTTATGCTTACACACCATTAAAATCTGTTACAATCCTTTGGCTTCTTTAAATCTCTTTAATCCTCTTAGCTTATTGGGTCCCTTTAGGTCCCTTTAATCCTTTTAGTTCCTTTAGTTCCTTTAGGACCTTTTAGTCCCTTTAAGTTCCTTTGGTCTCTTTAGTATTTTTACTCCCTTTAGGACCCTTTAGTCCTACAATGGCTAAATGGACTCAAGGGATCTAAAGGGACCAAAATGACTAAAAGGACTAAAGAGACCTAAAGGGACTAAAAGGACTACAGTGACTAAAGGGACTAAAGGAACCTAAAGGGACTAAATGAATAGCTTGAAGGGACTAAAAATAAAACGAGATAAATTTAATTTTTTGTGGACACCTCACAAATTCAATATTACTTTTATGTGCTAATTAAATGTTCGTCAGGCATGTAAATCCTGAATTAACTGTAGACTTGATCTAATTTTCACGTTATATTTGCTTTCTTATTGTTTATGCCTGTGCAAAATATATGCAATAAGTATATAGGCGCTACTAATAAATCCATGATAAATTACAATGCTAATAACTAATTGATTTTGTTTCAGTGGATATAACTATATATCAAAATGAATCAATAACATATATTAAATACGATATGATGAATTTCATTTTAAGAGAGAGTGCACGGATCAGTCGAGAATACCTGTCATGAGAAAATTTTTGACATACCCTTTTCATGGCTTCAAAAGAAAGCCTGAACAAAATTACCGATAAAAACAAAATTTTAGCCCGATCGGACGTAATCCTGAAAAATGAGAGATGAAACACAGAGAGGGGGTGGGTTGGATACCCACGTATCGATCAATTTTAGTATTTTGACAATATCTCGGAAACGATTCAACGCACTGAGTCGAGTAACATCTCAAAACATAGATAATTGTTTTCTCTACAAATCAATGTATTTGATACCTTCCTATATGTTAATGCTTGTTCTCTGAAGTCAAATCAGGACCAAAATCGGCAATATTGGAATAGGTCCTTTTTGACGTATTTTGACTCTTACTCCTCAGCATCAAGTGGGGCCAGAAGTTTTATTTCTGCTATCGATAGAGCTTGAAAACTGCTACAAAGTATACTCACTCAAAAGTTCCAATCTCTATGAAGAGGTATTTTTTTATGGGCCACAATGTGACATTTTATAGGCGTTTTTCTGACTATTTTTTAGTTTTTTAAAATCCAGAACACCATAATCCAATCCAATGACAAAATAAATATTATGTTCGTAATCAGCATCAAAAACTGAGTCAAGCAACATGTGCTTTTCTGAAAAACCTTTTTCGTCAAAATATCCGCCCTAGGGGAGTACACGCGAAATTATTCAGAAAAAATGACTGAGGGGGAGTAGGAGCGTGTTTTTCATGAAATTTGTTTTGGAGAAAAAAGATACCATATTCGACTCAGTTTTTGATGCTGATTACGAATATGATATTTATTGTGCCATTGGATTGGATTATGGTGTTCTGGATTTTAAAAAACTAAAAAATAGTCAGAAAAACGCCTATAAAATGTCACATTGTGGCCCATAAAAAAATACCTCTTCATAGAGATTGGAACTTTTGAGTGAGTATACTTTGTAGCAGTTTTCAAGCTCTATCGATAGCAGAAATAAAACTTCTGGCCCCACTTGATGCTGNATCTTTTGATAATAATGAGAGCTTTACTTACAGTGATAATAGACAGGAAATCTTAAAAATACTGGGAGGCTCATTATTCCTGGGACACCCGATATTATATAAAAAAAATCTAAAATTTGCTTTCTTTCTTCATTGGCAGAGCTAGTTTTACTCTTTATTTTGAAATTGAACGAAGCATTTTAACGCTTAAAATGATCGAGAAAATAGAGATATATGGAGGCGACAAAATCAAAAACTCTGTTGTGAGAAAAAGGCTAAATAAGTTTTAACATTGTAATTCAAAACGTTTTCGTCCATAATATGATATAAAGAGGATCTCAAGTAATTTCTCATAGATCAACTATTAGAATATAACAGATGAATCCAGATAAAAATGTAGAAATCATATATTTGTTTTTGTTTTCATGTGGAGTTTGTAGAATACAGCAAGATATCAACAAAAATCATCGGTTAAAAAAAAAATCAAAATATATCGAAATCTATATATATGTGTGTATATCATGTAGGAGTACTTTTCAATTATCCAAAAATAGTTCAATACATGTATACTGATCATGATTGAAAATATGATAAAGATACATTTATTAAAAACTAGAAAGTAAATAGTCACTCATAGCCTACTCTATTTTCGTGAAATGATAGTAAAAGATCTTTGATTATTAGTTCTGCTAACATAAATTGAGTTATGAATTAATGTTAATCAGCTTCATTGCATTCTACAGTTTTTCACATTTGATTGTTGTATCTTCTTACCATACTTACGAGAGAAGATCCCCAACTGATCTATGTCCTTTTCCATGATATTTCTCACATATGTTGGAAGCACTATTCTAAAAGAATCCCAAGAGGATTTGTTGTGATGGGGCTTTCTTCAGTAATTATGATCATTTGACTAATTTTTCCATTTAGGATAAGATATATACAGAATAACAGAAGTATAAAATTTCAATCTGAAATATTACGCATATGTAGTTCTCGTGTCCATGAAAACATTCAAAAAGTTTCAGTGAAAAAAAATTTTCTTTCGTAGCTATCGATTCTTAAAAATTTATCTCATAATCTATAAATTCCACAACGATCGGCTTTTCTAACAATTCAACATCGCAACAAAGTAGAGTTGTGCACGAATATCCTATCCTGCACTGTAAAGTAGAATAAGAGAAAAAATAAGAAAGTCTTTTTTAATTATGGTACAAGATGAAAAAGGGCTTGACTTGCCCATTTCTGACGACAATACTTTTTTTTTACCAAAAAATTTACAACCCTCCCATCACCACAAGAACTAAGCATGCGTGAAATTTCAAATTGAAAGTCTAGGTTTTTATTTTTCTGAATATATATTGTGCTAAATGAAGAATTAGTAAAGTGGCCATAACCGTCCAGGAAACCCGTCAAGCCAAGCCTTTTGGGGATTTTTCTTAGAACAGTGTCCGCGACATCTGAAAAAACATCCTTGAAATCAATGAGGATCACTTGGGCGCCGTTCTTTGCCACTGCTCTGCCATAGAAAAGACTGTAACTGAAAAAGTCAACAGAAAAGCTTGACAAACTTGAAAAAATCTAAGTCTTACAAGTAACATTATTTTCTTCAGTATGAGTGCTAAGAATAAGTTATCCAATATGCTTAATTCTCATTCTAAAATCAATAAGCCACAATGAATTCGAAAGTAGACACTTAGATCTATGTAACGAACTATAAATCGTAATACCGATAAATTTGACCAGAATTGACTTTTTTGAGGATGTTCAATGAAAACATAGAAATATTATTATGATAGTAGTATTTGAACCAATGCTTTCTCAACAAAAAAATGTTATAAAGCCTGCATGATTGCTAAATTTCAGGATGATGTTAGTGCAATCGGTGTTTTTCATCAAATAACACCTAATAATACAACATGTATTTTGGCTACACACAATGACTCAAATTCCAAATTATCTCATACACCTTTTACAGATGATCAAATAGAATATGATTATTTCGAATACGGTCCATTTAAATCAAGTTATACAGTTGTTAATTCTCTATAGCATAGTCATATAAAATGTAATTCAATTGAATCGATTTCTTCTACGTTAAATCCAATACATAATGATCATTTTCAAAGTGGTACATATGAATCTGATCACTTGGTTAATAATCGTATACAACATAAAGATCTTAAACATAATTCAATTGAATTAACTCATTCAACATTTAATCCAATATACAATGATTATTTTGAACATTATCCATTTGAATCTGCTCATATACGTGACAATCCTATAACATATAATGATATTAAATGTAATTCAATTGAATCGTCTCGTTCAACATTTAATCCAATACATAATGATCATTTTACACAACAGTCATTTGAATCACCTCATTGTGACGATTTCTGATAGAAGGGATGTTAGTGCTGATGGAGTTACACTTTATTCTATTCCTTCATATCATATAATCGTATCGTTTGCATAAAAGGCACACGCTTATATACGCAAGTAGAAGAGAGAATGAAAGGAAAGGAGATGAGGCCAAGGAAAGAATAGATATGAGAGAACAATAGAGTAAGGACAGTAGTGTAAGAATAGAAAGGTGAGTACAATATATGTAATATACGAATCAATGATAGGGGAAGGTTGAACATTATGTATAAAATCCAATCAACCGGGAGCGTTACACTCATATCCCATGTCGCGAATAGAGGTTGACAAGTTCAGTTTTAGTTCCGAACTGATGAACTGTTCGAAAAAGTTCAGTTCGTTCAAAAGAACTATTTCAGCAGTTCTTTAGTTCATTTGAACGGAGTTCGTGAACTTGAGCTGGTAGACCCCTAGTCACGAATACCGGAGCACTTTTAGCGGTAAACCGGCGGTTTCAATTCATACTGCGGTTAATTATCAGTTTTGGCGTTAAACCACGGTTCACAGGTAGTTTTTCCGGTGAAATGTAGAAAGTACATGGATAAGTGATAAAAAAAAGATGTATACATGCATGTGCCTGTCTGTCAGATCACTTATTTTGCTTCCTGGCTTAGAGAAAAAAGTCAATATAGAAATAACGAGGGCCAGCTGAGAAGTAAGTTGTTTTTATATTATTTTATTCATATTTAATTTTCAGATTATTTTTTACATTAAAATGTTTAATTCATAAATTTTTCCAATTTTTTCAGATCATTTTTTTATATTAAATCTTCAGATCATCTTTTCAATATTTTTTAGACTCGTTTTTAAATATTAAATTTTTAGATAATTTTTTTAATATTTGTTTTTTCACATTCAATTTTTAAGAATAATTTTTTCAAGTTTCCTTTTTTTAGGTTAATGCTTTTATATTTGTTTTAAAAATTGTTTTTGTTTCTTTTTCATATACATGTTTTTGCATTAGCTTGTAATTTTTTTTATTGAATTAAATTAGGTCAACTCACAAATAATTCTCAGATTTAAAATAAATATTGACCACAGATAGAATCGAAGAGTACCGGTTAGTTGCGGTTTACCGGATAAAATCGCCGGTTTTCACCCGATTTGTATGGCATGGGGTGTATTGCTTCTCCAAATTGCTCATGCTTTCTTTTGTACAATGGAGGAAAACTACTCAATTCAACATTTATATTCAATACGACTTCGTAGTTATTATTCAAAGATTGACGCAATCTCATGAATTTGTTTATTGTAATCTTGATGAATGCGTTCCCTGTTATACATATTCGCCATCTCTTCTCCCCAAAAGAATTGAAGTTAGATTACGAATGGCACACGAACACTACAAGGAATAATCGTTGCTTGCTCTAAAAACCATTCAGGGGAGCGATAAGTATTTATTACTTTCCAGAAATTCCCAGGCCGCCTAGTTTTACTAGAGTAAGACTAGTTAATCCAACGTATATATATTCAGAATGACTCTGTACTTAATGTAGGCAGAGTCATCTGTGGTATCCTAGTTTTGTTAATTGTTATTCTGATGATTCTACTTCCTTTTATACATATCTGATATGTGATTCTTTAAGTAGCACATAACCAACATTTTTATTATTTTGCATTCTCTTCTTTCATAATCAGCGATGTCTCGAGTTTTCTGCTGGATCAAGACCAATAGTGTAACTGTAGATCGTCTCCCACCTCTCTAAGGCTGACTAAATAATACTTGCCTAGTTTGATCAAAAGAATTCAAGTCTAATTAACCAACATTTAATGGATAAAACGCTATAGCCGATCTTCTTTGCTGTTTTTTGTTAATGAAAATATGCCGAACATTTGGCATTCCTTCCATGTTTTTGTTTTATTTTAAGAAAATTTACAATTTAGAATGTTAACTTTAAAATTAAAATTCTGAAAAAAAAGCATCTATTATTTCACAATCAAACAGGATATCAGCTAGCTGCTTGCATTTATTTGTTAAACAATCTGAAGAATAGAGTCTCCATCTTTTCAACAGATGTTTATGTCTATGATTTTTCAAAAAAAAGAGTAATTGTTTGAATTTGAGGTACCCTTTACATGAGTATCAAGGCGAGAGCGCAATAGTCAGTGAACGGAGGTAAAGGTAATAAGAAGTCGAGTTTTTCGTAAAGTTTTTTGAGTAAATCTTTTCTCAACAAAATGACTTACAATTATTTAAAGATTGTAAGGCACTGCCAGATGATTTAATGCTCAAGGTTCTACATAGCATGCCTTGAAGAAATATAAAATTCGAACGACGAAGATTTTGCTGCGGTACTGTTCGTTATTGGGAGGAAGGATGGAGATAAAATGGATTCAATTAAAACTTTATTACTTCCGCTAAAATATTGAGCTTGAGACGCCCATACGGTTGATTATGTGTAGATGTGAGAAAAAGTTGCTCAAAACAAAATTTTGAAAAAAAGAAGTTGTATCTCATTTACACTCCAAAATTTGAATTTCAGAGGTATAATGGGCGTTTTTCGTTAGAAATAACATTTCAACTACTTTTGTGCATGAATTTAACGAAGTTGGGCAGAAAAACGAACAAAAAAAGTGGAAAAAAATAGAAATGTCGAAAAAGTCGACAACAAGACAACTTTTTGTGCGCTTTTTGAAATAAGAGAAAAAATGCACAAAATTCGACTAAAAGTCGCTAATTTTGTTAAAAAAACATCAAAAATCGACATATCTGTCTACTTGAGTTATACTCATAAAGAAGTGACTTTTTATAAATTTTGTTGTACCAGTAATCTTTAAAAAAAAGGAATATAATCTGTATTTTTTCTTATTTAAGAAATATCAATCATATTTGACAGATGACTTAGAAGTCAAAATATAAGCCCCAACAATTTTTCAATAGTCTACTTTATTATACGCTATGCCAATGCTAAGTAACAAAAGTTTCCCAAAACATCACTGAATATCAAGGGTGTGGGTGTGAAACACTCGGAGTGAAGACACATATAGAAATAATTGTTCAAACCGATCACCGGAAACAAGTTATTAGACAAATTCAGCCAAAACTGCAATCTTACCGAAAAGTTCTAATTCACTCACATGCACATCTATATAGATATATGGTAGATTAAACTGAAATCTAGTTGAGATTGGAATTGTATGTTCTCGATATATAATAGAAGCTATATTTCAATATGTAAACACGAAGAGTTCTTTATTAATAATCCGATTTGATTGTGTTTTGTAGTTTATTTGATGAAACACACGTATTTACAGATTGTTGTCCTATCATTTAATCGTTATAAGCTTGTTATATGCATTATGTTCAATAGAAAATTTCTTTTCAGAATTAGTTTTTCATAACTAAAATATATGGATTTTGAATGATTGTTTCGACTTCATTAATTAATAACTTTTTTCTTCTTTCTGGGATGTAGATTTTTTATTTCTTTTTAGTCTGGGGACTTGGAGATATAGATTGGTAATACAGATCTAAAGGATCATTAAATAATTTTTTATTCTCTATAAAAGTTAAATCGTATTAGAAATTCTTTGATATTTCTAGCAAAAGGAAACCCTCTATTACAGTTTTCGTCTGCATATTAACGAGCGCCAGGGCTCTCGATTGTTTTCAAGAGTGCCGGAGGCTAATCAATTTTCGCAGACAGTACTCATAAATACTCCCAATTTTCCCAAAACTCAGAAGCGAAGAGCAAAAAAAACGTCTTCATCTACGTCTTCCAGGCGTACTGAAGTACCTCTGCGGCAGCCCGGCCCGTTCCAGTCCGAACTTTAAGTACTACTAAAAATTTTCGCAGACAAACTAAAACTCTCGCAGACAAATACTAAGAAAATTTTCGCAGACACGCTCAAAAAGCACCGGGAGCTAGCCTCCGGCATCTCCCGGCACATCGTGGGGCCTGACGAACGCAAATAAAACATTTATCCTTAACAAAAAAAATGAATATATTCTGATAGTATCAAATAAATTGAATTTTGATCTTCAATTATGACAGACAGAAGAGAATGCTCATTGATTATTTGATTTTCTCCTTACTTGAACTGTACTCCATTTCAAAAAATGGAATTGAAAGTATGGACTGTTGATTACACTAGGTCCACACGCTAGAATTGAAAAACCAGGTATAAGCGTTCCAAACATAGAAGTTAATATATGAGAATGAGTAGCAATGTCTACCACCAGTAAAATACCCACAACAATCAAAGCTTTCTTGGGTGTACATATTGAACCTGATTTAAATGGAAATCGAGTTCGAATCCATCGATCAATAGAAACTATGACTAATATCCATGCTGATGAAACTTGAGTTACATTGGTTATAAATGAACGAAATCGACAAAGTTCCTTGTATGCAACTTGAAGATAGAAACGAATCTATTCATAAAAGAAAAACAATTTTTTTTGCTCTCTAGAAATGAATTTTTATTACTTGCAAACCAAATTCTAAAAAATCAAAGATGCACATAAGTAAATATAACGCATCCGTATTTGCCAAAGTAATAAAAAGATAACCAGTTGATATTTTTTGTAATGTTGGTTGTGAGAATGTAAATAAACTAGCTATATTACGAGGAAAACCAAGTAAAAATGTGAATAAATAATTAATTTGATAAACTCAAATAACCACAATTGGGTTTCTAAAATTTAAAAATAATTCTTCTTGAGAGAATGTCGTTGTTGTGTTCATATAAGTTATTCCTTGTGTTGTTGTTGTCATACTCATTTTTAAAATATTAAAAAATAAATGAAAATCAAATGAGCTGAAATATATATAGCATCGTTTCCTTTTGAGAACTTCTTTCGTAGATAGAAAAACTGTTGCTATGTTAAGTAGATTAAATGTTAATGGATGGCGAATATTTTCTATCGATAAAGTGTATAAAACAATTATTAAAACAACTTTTATTTTAATATTCATTTCGTAATATTGAGAAGATAATTAACTTGAATATCAGATTAGTAGAAGTTATAGGACTTA